ACATCAATTATAAATGTATCGTTTAACGTATATGGGATCAAGTCATTGCGGATTTCAAACATCCAACCAATCAGAATGTTATGAAAATGACAAATGAAAATATAAGGTAGATATTTCACTAAGTATGGTAGGTCATTTTTAAATCTCTATGTATGTTTTGATAATTCAATTACTCTATTTAAACAGTCTCAAAAATGATTGCCTGATATTTGGTGTATGAATGATTATTCCATAAATGTCAAAAATCAACCACAATCCAATATTCAATTATACAGGGTGTTCAGTAAGTCAGGAAACGGGTTTCTATTGTTCTCATTGTTTGTAACAATGAGAACAATAGATACCCGTTTCCTGACTTACTGAACACCCTGTATANTACTTGGAACATTTGTATTCAATTTAAGTTTATTTGTATTCAATTATATAGCGGGACAAAATCAAACTTGGATTCATGATCAGGTATGTATTTAATGTTTTTTTTTTATTTAAATTTTATTATGTTTTAATTATAATTATAGAATCAATTGTATAATGACGATACTTGTAATCATTAAGCATTATATTCGTGGTTCGATTTCGATATGGATCTAATTACATCGGGAATATTGTATGATGATGTAAAATCATCAGATTTAGAAGAATTGAGGAGTTAGTAATAAAACTATATAACCACTTTTTAAAAGTTATAAAATAATCAACATATTTCAGAAGATGTTAGGAGTTGGAACACTGAATGAATTTGATGACGAAGAGAGCGCTAGAGTGATAGATGATCTATTTTTACTTGTGTTTAAAGAATATGAAGAAAAACATTGGAGGAAAAGAATGATGAATAATTTTTATAAAGAGTAATTTTAATAATTAAATGTATAACTGTAATAAAAATGTAAAACAATTTTAATATGTATTAATTTATTAATTGAAAATCGAATAATTGTTAAAATATAAATAAATATTTTTATGCAGAAGTTGATATTTTAAATACCCCCCTAATAAGCAAGTAATTTTTTATAAAGTCAAATTAAGTTCCTTGGATATATAATTTCCCCATGTAGACTTTTTATGGATAAAAGTAAATTGGAAGCTGTTCAAAAATACCCATCACCACGTAACAAGAAAAGATTATAATCTTTTATTGGTTTTTGTAACTTTTATTGCAAGTTTTTATACCTTTTTTCAAATATACTGAAGAGCATCGTAATCAATTCGAATGTGTACAATTTTTTTTCTGATATCATAGTAGTGTATCAAGATTTTAATTCTAATTTTTATATTCGATTTTCATATAGATTTTTATTATTTTTATAACGGACCATCAGATTCTTTATTTATTTAAATGTCGTTTGCAAAATACTCGACTAACTCATTGGACTTAATTCTTACAACAGCTATTATTACGGCAATGGCAGAATTAATTTTATTCGCGTGTTGCTACAAATTACATTATTTTTCTATTTTCTTACGAGTGATCTCTAATAATATTATCATGTAATTTTTTTATAACTATGGTGACGGCTGAAATTGCCTTCAGTATCTGAGCTCATTGAGGCTGGTTATGTATAAACTTTATTAATAAGACTGAATTTTCTATTTTATATATTATTCTGAGTGTACCTATGAAACGGTGCACTAAGAATAATACATGTATTGCGTTTTTTTATTTTGTTATTTCTTAGTATTTTCTTTGTTATTTCTATGATTTTATAGGTCCCTTTACATAACAGTCATGTTATAATACCACCTGTCATGTTCAGGTATTTTTATAGAAAATTTTTTAGAAATTTTAAATACCCAACAGTGAAGAACGTGTACTAATTCCGTCTCCTCTATTTTACTTATTATTTAATTATTTACTGGAGGTGAATATTCTACTGGCAATATGATTTGAATAGTGGTACGTTCTTAAACTCGCGATATCCCAATATATTGCAAGTAATAACGAAATTATAAACAGTTAGTTTGTCAGCTTGAGGCATATGGTCCGCTAGTATCATATTTGACGCTAGTCGATCGCACGGAAGCGTTCATCCCTTATCTCCCATTTAAAGTATAGGTGTAACAATATTTTTGATTAATATTCTCTCTCTCTTTGTTTCTTTTAATTTATAGTCGATGTTCTTTGGGTCACAATAATTTAATTTTATAAAGTTCCTTTAATTTAACTTAATGGTAATATTCTTAAATATTGTAATTTGTAGAAAATTTGGTATAAATCTACTTTACGGGACACCCTTTTTTTTTCAAAATTTTTTTTTTCAAAACGTTCGTTTTTTTATGCTGATTAAGAATATGTAAAAATTTTTGAGCGGAAGCGTGTGGTTCAAAAGTTATAGTGCTTTAAAGTTGCGATTGTAATTAAATAATATAGGTTATTAAAATGGATAATTTTTCTTTAAAGTTATTTCGTTTTTCTAGTTTTAAATTTTATACCAACTTGAGAAGCAATTTTATAAATATAATATTAGGGAAACATTGATACAGCATTAAAAAGATAAGTTTCAAGCAGAAGGTTGTCAACGGGTGGTCGTTTCATAAAACTAGCAAGCGTCACAATCTGTTATCTTTATAACAATACATAGTGTGTATGTATATACAATATTTTATAAATATATAAGTATAATGCGAATTACTATACGTCGGGGGGAGTGAAGTATGATGATTCAATTGTGTATGACTTGTGGTGACTGGGGTTTTTCTTAGTAGCCATGTAGTGTATTTACGGCCGCCGGGACCTATCTTATTTAGAACAGTTTATTGTAATGCGTCACAGGCGCTGCCGTCAAGTGTAATATGTTTCGTGCGCGTTTGTTTAAAAAATGTAGAACTTACACATAAGACTATATTATAATTATTAAATGTTTATTAAAAAAAATTCTGATAATTAGTATTCGCCTCATCATCAGTTAAATTGTTTTCGTCCTCCTCTTCTACCTCCAGTTCAACTTCATCAAAATCTTTCTCCGGATTGTTTGGATCGTACAGTTCGCCAGCATTTTTGAAAAAATTCTACAGTCGGATCAACATTGCGTTGTCGACATTTTTTTAAAAACATGTACTTGGCCAAGTAGCCACCATAAAATTCTTTTTTTCGCCTGTAATTGGGCAATGCCACTTTAGCGAGGCGCCAAGTACATTCAATGGTATTCGAGTGAGCGCCGGTATCGGGATCTTTGAAATTTATTGAATGATTAACCGTAAGATGGTTGTAACCGTGATCGGATAGTTTATCGTAAGCCTAAAATTTTTTAATTATACTTTTAAAGCTTGTAAATGTGTTTTTAAATTTTTTTATATTTAGCATACTTTTCAACAATCGGATATTATTGTTGTGCCTGGTAATATCCAATCTTCTATTAATGCTACTAAAGTAATCGCAGTGCGATTTTCAACGGGAATAAGGAAGCATTCGCCGCTCTCACGTTCATAGCCGCCGAAAACCCACTGCCCTTCTACCCGGTGACCACGATGGTATTTGCGGCGTCCAAACTTCGACTCATCGATTTCGACCGTTTTTCCGGGCCCCCCTAACTTTTTTTTATGTACTACCATGGCATCAAANTTTTTTTTTATGTACTACCATAGCATCAAACACAACCTCTCGACATAATGACGACCAATCTACAATTGTCTGATTCGCCATTCGCAATTGCATCTGAATTACTGTCGAAGGACAGTTCATTGTCCACAAATTTACAAAACAACAAATATCAAGTAAAGTTAAGTGTGCACGATGGAAAAATGTCCGGTTTCTAATCGATACGCTAAAGATATAATTAAGAGTTAGGTAAATTTATTTAATTTCACTAATATCATTTACCTATAGTTGCAAGTTGTCTGTTTTTTATTATTTTTTGAAATTTTTGTTCGGCACCTCCATTTAAAATTATC